CCAGCGTTTTGATTGGTTGTTCGTTTATCGGGGGGAGACTTCAGAGGAGGGAGGGGGGATGATGTTAACCGAAGAATTAACTTCGAACGGCCTAATCATGATCTACAAATTTACCCTTACCAAATGCTAGAAATAGAGCATGTGCATGGTAAACGCTCCTCTTTCTCTCAGAGACTAGCTCTTATAAAGGAATTCGAACTCTGAGTGCCCATTCTCTTGGAGTTTCGTGTGGTCGAATAATTGATAAAGTATCATACTGTCTTTCAACCTCGAAGAGATCATCAAAGAATCGTTGATAATTATTAATGCTACAATAATTATAGATATATGACTCTACATACCTCATATCATATCCCGGTCTATTATTAATGAGCTTCATTGATTTAGCTTTTTTATTAATAATAGTGGGAATAACAAGACCTAACATATTTGATGATTTAACGTATTATACTGTTTAGACAGTTATAAATATTATATTAAGATTATTAGACCTATGAGATTTGGCACGATATATACAATTAAAACCAGATTCATTTTTGTGCATTCGAAATAACTTATATTAAAGATTCAATAATATATAAACTTCTCACCTGAAAAACGACACAAAAGCAACTAAAATGCTAACAAATTAAAAATAGTATATACCTAGTTCTACAGTTCTAGTTAAGCATAACTTTACTCATCGACGACGGTATAAGAACATTGGTAAGATATTGCAAAGCAATGAGACAAGTCTTCTAAATTTCGGGTATAAATTTTTCTGGTGGATACATTCAATCACTCTCTGTGGTGTAGTTCAGTTGTTTAGGAAGTCTGCGTCACCCTCCCCCTAATACACGCCCCACATTGAGGATGACGATCACGCCCAGGATAAAGGAAAATGTTATGTGTTTCGAGGTGGATACATTCAAACTATTTCTCATCTGTAGCTCAGTGGACTAAACCGCGGGAAGCTCGTTCGGTCTTCCTCTCCTTACTACATAGACAATTATAGTGATGATCACGCCCTCTAAAATTGGGTTTTTGTAAATGTGAAAAAACAAAGTCAGAGGCCCTATCGCTCAATAGAGACGAAATTTTTTGCATGACTATTGGAAGAAGAAGAAGTAAATTGCAGGGAGGTAATAGTCAGATCCTGGGCCTGCCTCGAAAGGCTATAACTACACCTGAGAAGACTATATATTAAAGGTACGGTTAGGTTGTGTATTTTTATGGACCAGACAAAACACCTTCGTAAAGCACAGGACTATCATGGCTCTGTTGAATTCCACGAACCCATGCAAATAACTTGAGCGATCGTCTTATCGACATGAAGGCAAGGTGGAATATCGGTAAAAAATTTTGGTTATAGAATGAAAAAAAGATTTATATACGGAGATACTATTGCCTTATCTGCTATATATAATAATTAATCCAGGTCATCCATATTGCTAGGTGGTTTGTTAGCCTCATATTTGTTTTTAAGGGGCAGATTATTTAATAATCTATAAATATTTATATACCCCAGTCGTATATCAGAAATATTTTTTTTCTAATTTTACACGATGAATAAAGCGCATGTTAGATGTTCAATCAACATGCATCACGATTTTTGAGACTGAAATTTTGATATATTTAGCACTACAAATTTAGAATAAGCGTCATAATATATACTGGGCTGTGAATATTCGAAGGTGCAGGTTTGTTTTCAAAAATACTTGTAAATACATATGTGCGCTATTTTAATGCAACCACGTTCTACGTATCAACTGTTTATGAGTCACGGGTACTAATCATGGGTATCAAATCACGGGTAAATCTACCTTCCGCTGATTAAACTGCGACATTCCGTGATCGTTCCCCTGATCGTATATAAGAATTTAATAAAATTTTCCGTGATCGTTCCGTGATGGTTCCCCTAATCATAGGGATCAGGACTGAGTTTATTAAAGATTTAACTCGCCAACAGCACTTCAGATGCGAAGCATCCTCCTTTCAGGAGACAGTGGCTTAACGATTTTATATATGTTTATTAAGAAAATGCCAACAGCACTTCGACGGTGGCTTAGAAAATTTTATATTCGTTTATTATGAAAAAGCCAACAGCACTTCAACAGTGGCTTAACTGTAGTTATCTAGAATCTATATTTTAATGAAATTTCAGTAAACATACGTGTGCGCTATTTTAACACAACTACGTAGCGGTAATTTGATTTCGCGGGTGTTAGATCATTTCGAATTTATTCTGTCATGCTATCATATGACTTAACGGTCCCACGGGTCCGCATAAATTCTTATCGCATAAATTTTGTGTCCCTGACGGCCTCCAGAGGCTGTCGGAGTATAGTTAACTAATATTTTTATATTTTTATGATAACGATAGCGATCACTCGATATTCAGGTTTATCAGTTCGAATGTGCGATAAAAATTTGACCGGCTTTAATGATCAATGGCCTGCATTATTGCTTTGCAATGACCCTTCGGGTCTAAATTTTATGCGGTGTTACCTTAATGCATAATTACTTTCTCAACGTCGATTTTTTATTAACAACCAATTTTACGAAACTATTTAATAAATGTAATGAAATATCCCTCTTTTTTTTTTAATCCCGAACTCAAAGTAAACTGTATTTAATGATTTTCTGACTCTTAACATCCATACCGCATTTGTTAAAGGTTAGAAGTCTAATGTAAGCAAAAAAACGAAGCTCAAAAGTTTATTATAATACCAGCAAAGTGTATAATGCTATCAAAAAAAATTACATGATATCGATATGAATTCATTCTATTTTAATCACATTCTCACTGCTACCTATGGCGAACCTATTGATTTTGGAATAGTAGAAAATAGGAATTCCTTATATTCTTCATCTCGTGACTTTTTATTTTTCAACTTACTAATTAGTTTGTTTAGCAAGGAATGTTGGGTATTCAATGCGTATACTAAACGATCCATCCACAAATAATAATCATTATTTTCTGTATTAACCGGAATTTCTATTTTGATTACACGGCGAACCCGACTGACGACAGCCCCTGGTCGATCAAGCACAAAAATCTCTAAATCAAATCCTGATACTAGGATTCCATAAATTTCCAAAATTCTCAAGGTAAGATCCTGATACATGTATTGACCAAATTGATTGTAAAAATATGACACAATCGTATCATAGTTGTCTTTCATCATTTTGTACATTTTGTACCTATCTGAGATGCTTTTTTCTCCAGATTGGTTGGAAGGGCTTTTTGAAATTTCACCTATTAAGTATTCAAAATGCAGTAGCCTGTTTTTAAAAAAATTTTCTGTACTTCGATATCCATGTGCTGTTTCTACCAGAAAGTCCGGCTTTTTTCCTCTTCTAATCTCTGTAATTTCATGATTTTCTTCATCTGATGAAATCAAATTTCTTCTTCTTTTTGAGCCAATTGACTGACGTTCATTATTTACATATTGAATATCAATGAATTCCCTACTGATTATGGTAAAAGTAAATGTGGTTACACTTGCTTGCCAACTTCCTTCGTTTAATCGTTTCTTTGGCTTTGAATATTTTTTACTATTTCTTAGTTGTTTACTAAAATACAAAATAAATCAAGACCAAAAAATGTTAATAGTTAGATAATAGTTATAGAATCTCATAAATTAAATAAAAATAAATACAAATGATTCTTGATTTCATTAAGACCATTAGCGCTTATTGTTTTTTTTACTGCTTTATTAATGAGACATCCTGTCGTATCACTAATCTGGACCCATTCGTCTTGGGTAAATTTTGTCCTAATCCAATCTTCTGGATAAGCTGTATCCAGAATTGATGAAAGAATGGGATCATCTTTTCTTGTATATTCAGCATTGTAATCATTTATAATGTCTTTGAGTTTGGCTTGTACAATAAAGGATGAACCTTGTGTTTCGATAACCCATGGCCATTTTCGAAAATGTTCATATTCACTTTTAAAGAGTGTAATTTTACTTTTCGCAAAAGGTACTGGTTCATTATTTCGTGTAGGAAGTTTTGTTTCCTAATACATTAAATTTTTTTGAAAAGTATATAGGACAATTAATATTTGCTTCATTCCTTTTAAAGATTTTATATCTCATATACTGATGATTCAGATTTCTTCAAAAAGCAAATTATTTTAATGTCTTCTATCGTCAAACAGGAGGATACATCTCTATAACTAAATCTTCTATTGCCAAACAGGAGAATGCATCTCTAACAACTAAGTTTTCTACCGCCAAACAGGAGAACACGTCTTTGTGGCCAAACGTTTCACAAAACACGTCTCTGCAATAGAAGAGTTATTACGATGCATCTCTACAATAGAAGGGTTATTAACGATGCACCTCTACAATAGAAGAGTTATTACTATAATAGGAGAGAACATCTACACTATTATAGTTTCATATTTGAACCGCATTTCATCATTACTATCATAAATAAAAATAATTGAAAAAATTGTAAACCCTACCTGAGACTCACGTAACTTCTGCAAATAAGTATCCGCATTAATTGACTTATCACTTAGCTTTTGTCCTAGCCAATTTTCATATACGAATCTTACAAAAGCATTAACACGTCCAACCTTTCCACACCGATTATCCATAAAATAACAAAAAGTTGTTAAGAATATGTGGTGTTTTGAACTTCAGTTAGCACAAATGTTTCACTCATTTTGATATTTGAGATAATAACGAATAGGATATCATGAAAAAAACGAATTTTATATCTTTGAAAGACGCGTATATTTTTGCCAATTAGATTGTCTAGCAGATGTGCAAATATAACGATAATAATCTTACACGACATTTCCTTTTCAAGAAATAAGAGGCAAGACCCGAAAGTAAAAACACGTTACACGATAATTTATACATTATGTAGTATTTTACACAATACCACCCATGATTGCCTTTTTAAAAAGTACGGCACCAGATTAGCAGATATGCAGAGCAATATCTGACAAACCTATAATATGTGGCAATTGCGCCCTCGCCCACAAATAAATTATGCATAAGCCGGGATTATTTATAGAGAATTTTTTTGTATATTAATATAAACATTTTTGTACCATAACTAATTTCATTTTTTATATAGAACGCAAAACTTTTTACGCTCATACGTACAGTACATGAACTGAAAATTATATTATATAGCGCAGTAGTCATGTGAGTGTGACCTTTTGAGGTCACGTCCACGTGACTTATACGAATGATTCTGTTGGGGTTTTATCCGGAATTTGAGATATTACATGATTAATTT